TGTTAACTACAAAAACGAAAAGAAAAAAAAAAACTCATTTCGGCAGCGGTCTTTTCTTGCGCTTAGTAAAATGACAAGGAACGGTGGCATCCAGCGAGAATAAAATCCCTACGGATACTTAGCGAACCTGAGCGCTCTATTGTGCTGGATGCACCAATTGCATCGAAACCCAAACATTTTTGCCAACAATGTATTGCAGTCAGTCCCCGTTGCTTAAAAATAAATGCAATGCCATTTTCGTTGTTGAAATAACCCATGGGTTGTTGTAAACAGCTCACTAAACAATCATATTGAATATACGCTATGATCCAAGGGACAGGGCCGACTGCACATTTTATATTTATTCATCACTATTTTTTAGGAAAATTACCGTTGAATTGACATTTGCTAGTAGTTCATAATTTGTTAATTATTCTTAATCCAGCCCTACAAACTGTTGCCTATGTAGGTGTACCAGACCAGTGAAGCGGAATGACAAATAAGTTGATAAGAAATATAAATTTTAAACCTATACAATATCTTACTTAAATGTGGACTAAATGGCCAGTAGTGTTGACCAGAGGGAAGGCAGTCAGTTCGATATCAGCTACCATGTCTCTAGGGCTTTGTCTGATTTTTTTGAACCGAATAATGGAACTGACTATCACTTTGATAATGTGGCTACAGCTGAAAGTGTGGAGATGTTTAGAAGCATCACGTTTCGATCTCCGAACCCTTGTTCCACATTTCGATACGCTAACCGTTAGGACTGCCCGATCGATACTCGGCATTGGTAAGCCGTGGCAAATTATTGCAATATTTCCTTCTTGTTTTTCAAATTATAAGAACGTATCTCAGTACGCTGGTATAAATGATAATTTTCATACATTTTTTGGGTGCCTGGATTGTTGGAAAGTCACGGAAAAAAACTACGAATAACCAGTCTTCGGGGATTTGTTTTAGGAATGTATAAGGTAATGATATTGTCCTTATTTTTTCGTCTGGTGATCCCATTGTTTCTGTTAACAATATTGTATAGCAATACGTACATGTGTTTAATGCTCATATTTGGATGCAATTCTTATTTTATTAATAAAAATATACTATTCCCCATTATAAACTGGTGGTGACTGTTAAGTTGTAAAACAATATAATCAAACTCAATGATTTGCAGTGCTAAATATTTTCTAAATAAATTATTAAGCATTTGAACAATTAAAAAAGGCTTATGGAAGCTTTCAACGTTTTGTTACGAAAACAGATGTTCTTTGTAGGGGATTAGAAGTATCTCATAATAATATGCTCTAAACTTCTAGAGCGAATGCAATACAGTATGAGTGCCAAATATCATGAAGCCTTTGATACGTTACTAACACCCTGATTAGATCCATTAACATTTTGTAACTGTATATGCAGTAAGACTTAGAGAAAAAGTAAGTATGACACTGCAACTATTTGGAAAAAAAGTCAAACTTTCGGCTCTCCTAAAAAGATAAATGACAAGGCATATCTTTCTTTCAATAAAGGGTAATCAGTTTGACTGATAACAAACTTCTAAAAACAGCAGAACAATCTCATTTTTAGGTTTTGTAATTCTAAAATCCGAAACAGTTAAGTTTCTAGCAACATCGAATAGTTATTTTTTATACTTTTACAAACACGGCGTTAATATAGTAGAATATTTCTCTATTCATCACAAATGTATTAATGTATATCGATCGAGAAACACCAGACGGCAAAAAAAAGCTTCAAAAGGAGCGTGTCGCTTCACTACCTTTTGTTTTATTCGATACACTAGCGACATAAGGCAATGTTATGGAAGCCATGTTTGAGAAATCAGATTAACGTATGATGAAATATTTGATTTTTTAACAGCATAACATGAATTTTGTACTATCACATTGTATTTAAACCTCTATTTGAACAAACGGAAATAAACTAACAAATATCAACATTCAAATCAATTTTTCAATGGCATTTGAAGTGTTTATAATTTCGTTTTTACAAAGAAAGCTAATAAATGAATTTTATGCCAAAATTAAAAGCGATTTGTATTAAACTTTGTTAGTTATTTTGTTCATTAAATACATTGAAAAAGACAGTGAGCTTTGTTTCAGCTTAAACTACGTTATTTTTATGCCCAAACTAAGAGACATTTGTATTGAAATTTGGGAGTTATTTTGTTCATTAGATACACTGTAAAAGACAGTGATAACCGGCTTTGTTTAAGTTTAAAGGTTTAGTTATATTAAAGTCTGTATATGTATATTTAAATATTATATATTGATGGATATAGAAGAGTGTTTATCGTAAGAGTTATTATTTAGTATATTTAGTGACTTAATATTTAATGATTATTCAGTTTTTCATAACGAAAGTGTTAAAGTTAATTATTTTAAAGGCGATAGTTATAAGAAATTTCGTTATGTAATTCGGTAAGAGTCGTATGTTGTGAGTGTAGTTCAATTGTTGTAGTATTGTTGACGTCATCTTTCTCGAAACATCTAATTTTTTCTCATTGTGTAAATATTGTTACATCTTATCGTCTCGTAGTTTGTCGAAAGTTCTAGGCCTCAGTTGGGCAAGGTATATGTATAGGCAACCAAACGAGCACAAGTTAAGAAAAGTTCAGATAGAAGAAGAAAAAAATTAGTTAGTGAAAGAAAAGTGAAGTTAGTCGGCGTGTGAGTGATTAGCCTTAACGGGTGATATCTTAAAGCGAGTTTCACAGTTTGACAGCGATAAGGGGAACAATTTGTCTTGTCAAAGTGTGTTCTAAAGTAACTGAACCCGTCTGTGTGAACTTTGACAAAAAGGAGAGAATTATTTAAAGTTCGAGATACAACCATGGTAACTTACGAAATAATGTATGCGAATCTATCGCAGATTGTATAGAAAGAAACAGAGTAGATAAAAATAATTCGTCTTGTCATTTGGATTCTAAAGTAATTGAATCAGCCTGTGTGGACTTTTGACAAGAAAAGAGAATTATTTAGAGTTTTAGATAAAACTGTGATATCCTATAGCGTAAAAAATATTTGTACATACGTTTGACTTGTTTCGAATATATTATTTTAAAACAAGTGGGTTGTGTGCTGTCCGTTTATTGTTCGAATTCATCGCCAACAAGTCACGGACACCTACTGTAGAAGAATCCCAGCCCACGTAATTTCTGTCTTTTTAAACACCTATAATAATTAAGTCTAGAACGTGAGCTTTATTAAGTAGTTTACGCCTATTTTATGGCTTACATTATGTATAGGTTATCAATGAAAGCACCCACTAATAATTAATACAGTTTTCCTCTTTATCGTATTTCACAATTCTACTACCGGATATTTTATCTAAAAGCTACTAATACTATGTAACAATGGTACGATTGTTGCCCAGATGCTGCTGCCGCAAGATCCTTTGATAATGTGACGGAATATAATATTTAATTCAACAACAACAACAAATGTACAAATTTGAAACATCGGAACCGATAATGTGACGGAATATAATATTTAATTCAACAACAACAACAAATGTGCAAATTTGAAGCATCGGAACCGATCTGTGTTAACATATAACAGAATTCTAACTTTCTGTTGCACAAAATCACATCCACAGACTTTGATGTAATTCTGTTCCTGTTCGAGAGTGATCGTTCTACAACATAATCCTAATGTCTGCGAGATATCTAATAATCAATTTTGAAAGTGTGGTAATTTATGTAACACCTGTAAATTTCTCGACGCTGATTACTTATAGTAACGAGAGTTTATCTTCATTGCTGTTATTTAAAAACAAATATGCCATTTGAATCGTAACTGGATTCATTGTAAAATCTTAACACAAGAAGATATTAAAGCATGAGTTCTTTTCTAGTTAACTACTGTTTCTCATTTCACCTTTGTATAAATAATAGTATAATTTATTTGTTATTTTTATAGATCAAGAATTTTTTCGTCCATCACTTCGAAGATAATACTCAAAATAAAAACTCAACACACTAGGAAAAATAGGATAAAATTTTAATTTTACTGAAACATTCCACAAGCTAAAATAACAAATAAATGGGTAAGGGTTAGAAAAGTCCCCAAACTCAACGCTTATATCCGAGTAAGAGAAAATATATTTATGGGGTTTCTTTCCTGAGGCCCCCAGTGGCACAGCGGTATGTCTGCGGACTTACAACGCTAGAATCCGGGTTTCGATACCCGTGGTGGGCAGAACACAGATAGCCCTTGTGTAGCTTTGTGCATAATTAAAAACAATCAACAACAACTTTCCTGAGGGTAGGGGGAAAGCTTTTCTTCTTAAACTCAATCCTTCCACCACTAAATTGATAACTTAAGGGTGATAACGTTTGGTGTGATAAAGCTAGGTACCTTAAAAAACCGTGTCAATGTAGACATACTTTTCACATAGGTCACCTAATAAGATTACCCCTCCCCGAGAAAAATACCTGAAAGAAAACCCTCCGTACGCTACAATTTCTCAGGCCAAAATAATTAGACTAGCCTAGCCTAATCACAGTTTATTTCGTTATATTTTTTCTGTGTGTATCTTTTACGTTATTAAAAAAAGCGAATTACCTTTATCTTCAAACATGTATCTCGAACATTATCGCGAGCAGAAATAGCTTGATTCTGCGCCATTCTTCTGAGACTGCGCACTTCAGCTTGCAGGTCTCGAGTCTGTCGTCTGAGGTAACGGAGTCTTGAACAGAGTTCCGGGCTAAGATCGTGAACTAAAATGTTGATAGCTGTTAGTCGTTCATCGTTTCGTAGTAGTTCTATTTTATTAAGCAATGATGGTAATCCATAACATATAAGATGATATTGACTTGTAATTCAAATTTACCTTTGAACTATCCACATTTTTACAAACTACGTTTCATGTTCTACGTAAACTTCTCTTCCTGTGAGACTAATTTTCACGTATAACGTTGTATTTCAACTATTACTTTTTAAAAGTATTCGATATTCTGTTCAAAACAGATTAAATTAAGGTTTAGAACTTTGATGTATTCACTTGAGAAATATTAAAACATTAAACAGACTGACTTCTTATCCATCATGATTGAAATGTGTATAAATAATAAATTAAACTAGCCGCGACCCGCAAAACATTTGCGGTAGTTTTCATGCCCTTCGCTTTCTTGCAGGCATTATGTGTTAAATCGATAAATCTTGGTCTAATTGAAAAATTATAAGGGGGATCAGACAAACAAACTCAGGTACACGTAACCATAGAAATTCTATTTAGTGTTATGTTATTTTTTTGGAAATTACACGCGGGTTAAGTGTTGTTTGTGTGAAATACCTTGCAAATAAAAAAAAAACTATAGTTGAAATCGAAGCCAGTCGTCAGGTGATGAGAACGACATTGTGCTATCGTGTACCATACTCGTTGCATTAAAAAGTTTGACTTAGTAAAAAAACAGGTAAGGTGAACTCCTCGGACAAAGGCTTTGCTAACGATATGAGATTTGGAGCGTTTGATCGAGATATTTGCGAGACAAATTCTGGAGAGACAAACGCAAGCGTATTATTTATATAGATTCTTAATTAAAACGCATAAAGTCGACTCCTATATTATTACTTGATATTAGCAACTGTTTTACGTTTTAGTAAAAGTAAAGTAATTAAAATTGTAATGAAATATAAGAAAAACATTATTTTCACATAAAGTATTTGTTTGATTACGTAGCAAATGCTTTGACCTTATCAGGCATGATATGGTTCTATAATTCGTATTTATCGACTATACTTCGAAATATTAAACTATAGGTATCCAAAAAGAACGTTCCAGTAATAATTAGCACATCAGTATACGTTTAATGCACTTATTCCGCGTAGGCCTCAGTCTTACTTCTCGTGAAATGACGAAGATAGAAGTATAGTAATTTATGTGTTTCATTAAGCCTTGTCTGAGTTAAAGTTTTATGGTTATTGTTTCTATAATTTACTTACATGCTTTTCTACTCGTATCAAATTGATCTGTCGCCTTGTTTCTGTTATGGGATACAAAACACATTTATCGGTGGTTTGTGTGAATGCTCTGTTTTTGTATTCACTAGCCAGTAATGTAATAACTAAGTTATATGTTACAATAGATAAATATATTTATTATATTCATGACTAATACTTCAAGCGTAAGTAGGAATGAAATTTAGATTGTCCATGCATCTGGTGGGAAGTGAGCTAAAAGGCATAATTCAACTCAGTTTTCGTAGTTGCTATTGTGCAGAAATAAGAGATATTTGATCCATTGGTAAACAAGAGAAAGAAGATGAAGTGTAAAGACGAAGAATGAAAATAAGCTAGAGATTGAAAGGGTATAATTAGAGACTGGAATAAGTATCTTAATATCTACCTTTAGGAATTTCGTAACGCCTGAGTTCCGCTGGCGTAGAAAGTAGAGAAGTAGGTTTAGGGGGAGGTTTAGGTTTACCACCAGGTGGTCGTTCATCTTTGGCTGAGGGTCAAAGTTCAAAGAATGAGATGGGAAAAAGAGTTTTTTTACATTTCAGAG